ATGCAAGTTATTGATTGAATATAACAGACAATGCAACCTGTTATATGACACTGAGTTGATGAATGATGAAAAAGTGAAAATATGCTCACATCTACAAGTTGATAATAAGAGAGCAATTGATTTAGCAAAGAGAGAATTCTTAACACAAAGGTCGTGTCATATCAAGATTAGATATCATATTCTCTGTGATTTGATTGAAAAAGGGAAAATCATGATGAAACATGTTGATTCTACAGTGAACATAGCTGATGAGCTTACCAAGTCACTGGCGAAGCCTGCATTTGAAGAATTTGTCAAAAGAATTGGCATTCAGAAAATTGAGAAGAAGGAATGATTGAATAATAATAATAATACAGCAGATCAATGAATTTTACATGTATTTCTTGATTTTTACAGTTATTGCTGTACGGACGCCTTTTCTAATGAGGAAATCAGGGTCTGATTCATGTAATTAAGTATTACTGCATTTTTGAAAGATTTGAGAATGAAGAAGGCCCCGGGTGGCGGCTTATTATAGGCCACAGTGTAGCAAGGAAGAGTGTTGGTGATTACTACACCTATCCTAGTCACGTGCCATCTCAATCTATTCATTTAGTGTAACTCGCGTAGTTAGATTACAATATATAACACAATAACATTATTCTTTAAGAGAGTCTTTAGATAAAAGCTTACTCATCAGTTATTCTAACTCTGTAATTAAATCTTATAAGAGAATATTGTGAGATGGTTGATTCATTGTATTCGTGTAGGAACTAGCTAATCTATATACGCTACGTCACGTACCACGTTCGCTAGGGCGACCGCTAGGCGGCTTCTGCCCAACACCCCCCCTCACACGCAGCGTGCGAAACGTGAAGAGAGACACCTAATAGAGAAACCTAGCCTAGCTATCCTATCCTTGAACCTCCCTAAAACATGCTATATACAGTGATTTAGTTGTTTCCACTGCTTCCATCTGTAAGGCCTAGCAAATTAATGAAACACTCAAATGTCACTGTGCTCAGAGGTTTGGTTAATCTGTTCACTGTTATATCCTCTGTAGAAACATATTCAAGTGAGATAACTCTCTCATTCAACTGTGTATATAAGTAATGAAAGTGAGTATCTATATGCTTACTGTGAGCTGTAATCACTGTCACTGCAGTGAGATTGATAGAATTCTTATTATCTGTCTTGATAGATAACAGATTCTCCAGTATAAATCCCAAATTCATCATCATATTTCACAACTAAGTCATCTCTTATACAGCCTCACTAAGAGTCATATACTCTGTCTCATTGAAGCTTAAGGAGATGCAGGGCTGCTTTATAGAATATCATGAGATAGAAGTGTCTGTCAGCTTAAAAATGAAGCCAGATATAGACTTCTGCTCATCATTCAATGAGCCTGCTCAATCAGAATCTGTATATCTGTTGAGAAGATAGAAGATATGCAGAAACTCATCAGCAGATTCTTCATCTTTTGTATAGAATACACTCAAATTCTTTATTCTCTTCAAATATCATATGACATGCAGCAGAGTCTTTCAAGTCTTAGAGATGAGAGCTGCATTCTTCTGTATCAGTAGAAATGCTGTGTGTGTAATATCTGAACATAGTTTAACTGCAAGATATTGCAAACATCTGACACCTTGCTGATAGCATTACTTCATAAAACCTTCTTTTCTTTCAGAGACAGAGATATCATCAATTCACAAGCTCTCATTTATAGATATACAGACAGTGACAGTGTCTTCTAGATGAAAGTCTTCTATCAATCAATTGATATAGTATCAAAGTGTTAATCTTATGTCTTCTTCTTCACAACTAATCTTCATGTCTAGATATTTCATGAGTTCTTTCAAGTTCTTGATCTCTAACTTGCTAGTCAGTATCTTCACTAGTTAATCTGTGTTCACTGAATCCTCTGTGATAATATATAGATCATTCATATATATCATTATATAGAGGTGTTTCCATGTCTTATGATGTCAGAGGGCTGAGTTATAAGAGCTAGAGATAAGATTGTTCTCTTATAATAGAGCTGTAAGATAGTTGTATCAGATCTTTATAGCAGAATTCAATCTGTAGAGAGATTTCTCAACTGTGCAGATAAGTGTTTATAAAGCATCTGCTTCAAATTCAGTAGGCTGTCTTATATACACTGTCTTATCAAGTCATCTGTGTAGATATGTTATCATAATATCAACTTAACAGAGTGTTCAACCTCACAGTGCTGTGATTATAAATATCATTCTATTTATAGTATCAGTGACTATAAGTGTGTACATCTTCTCTTAAGAACTCTTCTTAAGTCAATTACTGCACACTACTCAATGAGATTTACACAGTATACTGTCTTCATCTGTGTTGAGATCTTCAGAGCAGTCTTTTTTCATGAATACTCAGCAGCTGAGTATCACTGATTTATCTGATGAGATGTCAGAGTAAGAAATGAGTGTTTAAGTATTTCATCTCATCAAGTTCTTGATCTCTCATTTTATCAATTTCTTTTAATATTCATCTACTCTTTCTGATCTGGCTACAGCATTCTTATAGCTTTTCAGTAGTGAACCTGTAATAAGAGTGAGAATGTAAGTTGCAAACACTTTTGCAGGCCTAATTCACACAGTATTCAGATTCATGATCTTGAGAGTTTTAATATCATTCATCAAATGAGTGACCAGATTGAATGAACTCTTCACAGTCATAGAAATAGAGATGTTAGCAGTAGAATTGACCTCTTCTCACAGAACTACTGTCTCTCTCACAGAGAAAATGACATTGCTAGTAATAAGTAGCTTGTCAGTTGTAAGACTTCAGAGATGATAGATAGATCTGCTGTGAAATTCAATAAGCTTGTAGAACTCTGCTCTGACAGACAACTTATCTACTGACTTCTGAGAGTCATGGAGATGAGCATACATCTCTGTGCCTAGCTCACAGAAATGAGTAACTTGGGGCAGAGTATTCATCAATGTAGAGAAGAAAATTGTATGAAAACTGTGAACAACTTCTTCATTCTTCTGAGACTAGTACTTCTCATTGTATAAGATAGTAGATGTAAATATGTTGTTTGTAATTACAACTACTGTCTTCAAAACATCTGCTCAGAACTTCTTTGATATATTTTTCTCAATTAGAACTGCTCTAGCCCTTCTTATAATTGTATAAATACCTCTCTCAGAGACATCATCTTGATGAGGTGAGTGAGAGATTGTAGACTCTCAAACAGTGTCATGATTCATTATTATCACTATCATTCTCACAGATTAAAAGACACTGTCAATATCAGTTCTAATGTATACAGAGAGTGTGAAGTCAAGATTACACATGAACTGAACTCAATACTCATAGAACTTGATGACTTGATTCTTCATATGTAAAAAATAGATTCATCTGTAGTGAGTGACATCATCTGTCAGAAGCATGTAATACTTTGTTTCTTGATATGATTTAATAGAGTGATCTGTCATCTCATCTAGTATACAGCCATCACCTGTGAGATTGATATAAACTCATTTCATCATGTATAGAGCTTGTGACATGAAGGTCTGTGAGAACTTTCATATCATATCTGCCTTGACACAGCTATTGTAAAAGAAGCTCATCTTGAGGTCTCTAATTTGTATGCTGAATAGAGAATTCTTCACTAGTACTATAATAGCTTTCATATGAATATGACCTAGATCAGTATATCATTCTGTGAGTGTCTTAATCACTGAGCAATCATCAGATTGATTGTCAGATTGATTGATGAGCTTCTGATTCAGACAATTATTGATTGTTACAAAAGTCAAAGAGCTATCATATTCATATGATTTCATGATATAATGAACTGCCATACTCTCATGATTTAAGTTGACTTCTTGCTCTCACTCAATGATTCTATAGATATTGATCTTGAAGATGTGAATAGCATTAAGAATCACATCATTGAGAGATCTTATAATGAAGTAGAATGATGATAAGAAGAATAGTTCAAATCAGAAGCCTTGATCTTCTAGCTTCATAAATAATAGTAGATTAACTGTGAGATTGAGAATTCAATGAACCTTGTGAACAATGATATCATCATCTTTCAATTCTAGAATAACCTTTTCAATCTCCTTGATCTGTTCTTTGTCATCATCTGCTGTAGTAACTTTTAAATCACTCTCATATATCTTTCATCTGCTAAGTGAATTCTTCTCATCTATCATATTAAAGCTCGCGCACATATCAAGATATCAAGGCTTGAACATGATCTCATTTAACACAGAGAATGCAATAGCAGTATTTGCATTGAGTTAAGAGTTTAGAAGGTCTGAGTTCTCATCCTTCTTGAGATCTGAGTTCTTATTCTTATTCTTCTTCTTATCTCTTCATCTGCAGCTGTCAGTGTTCTCACTGCTCACTGCTGTGATAATCTTATTCTTATTCAACTCTCTTCAACACTCTGTTGCTAACTCAGAATGTAATTACCAGCATATATTCTTCACATATCTAGATGATTCACAGATCTCACACTTGAGAGTGAATGAGTTGAATGTAGTCATATTCAATGTAGTAGTAGTGACATTTACTTATTAAGACTTCAGACACTCTGTGTCTTTTGTCTTGCTTATACAATTCATCAACTGCTTCATTAAATCATCAATATCAATGTTTGAGATAGAGTCTTGACTCATGACAAAGAAGTCATCTAGCTTAGTCTTAACAAACACCTTTTAATAGTCTCACAAGTCATTAAGAAACATGTCATAATAGAAGTTATTATGATCATCTGTGAGCTTCTTATAACATGTAACAAGATAGTGAAATCTTCTCTGATAAATAAGATAGTCATTATTCTTGATATACAATATGATCAGCTTCTTGATAACATTCATATATTTCTCTGCTAATGAGATAGCATACTCTGTCTCTATCTTCTCTCATAAGACTGCTGCATTATCTGGCTCTAGAGTGCCAATAGTAGTTCAGACAGATTCTAAGAGTGATTGTATTATACATTAATATAGAGTTTTTATATACACTAATTAACACTCATTCTCTAGAGCTGTTAATTCTTCAGATAACACTTGCTGATTCTTCATTAAGATATCAGTTTCATCAATCATCTTCATATCTGTCAAGATGTCAATCTTTCATACTTGATAGTTGGTTTCATTGAACATAGTGACAGTTTTTATATCTATCAAAGTCTGCATCTTCTTTTGATATTTACAGATCTCTCACTTTATATCACTTACTGAGGTTTCACTGTCATTGCTATCAGAATTCTGATACATAGTCATCATCATCTGCTGGCAGAATGTGAGTAGATCTGCAGCAGTCATGGTTATAGTGTTATTAGCACTGAGAATAGACATTGTAGACATTGTAGAGCAGAGTATTTCATCTGAGCTATCAGTGACCTCAGAAGCTTCACATTCTGGTTATTTATCAGCACATTCACTTTCACTTGAAATCTTCATGATATCATCTTCTTTCATTAAATCATATTGCATACATTCTTCTTCTTCTTCAGAACTAGACTCATTCTCTTCTTCAACTGAGTTGAATCCTGAGACTTTTGAATGCAATCTGAGCATTCTTTTACACTCTGATAGAGGTGTTGAGAGCAGTCCACTCATTGAGACCTTCAAAGAGAGATGAAATAAGGGATAAGATAGCTCTTAACCCTTTAAAAGGTTGTGTACTACTGTTTTTGAGTCAATGTTTATTCTGCTAACACAGGTCAAAACAAATCCTCTTAATGTGCAGTAATATTGTATTCTTTTGGAAAAAAAAAATGATTCTCAAATCATCAATGAACTCATCCGCTTGCTAACACAGCATTTTTAATGAAAAATACATAATTCTTTTAAAAATGTGCTATTCAGGTTATAACCTGTGGGATGATTGATCTGTTGTATTCGTGTAGGAACTAGCTAATCTATATACACTACGTCACGTACCACGTTCGCTAGGGCGACCGCTAGGCGGCTTCCGCCCAACAAATATAAGTAAAACATCTGAGAGTTCAAAATCTTATATAACTTTGAGAAAGTGAATGTGTGCAAGCGCTTCATCACGAACTCGCTCGATTTTTCGAATAAGAACCCGCCGATAGATCCATTGAAAAGCCCTCAATCATATGAGTATTTTGACCCCATCGCTGACTGCATACCCTGTGTGGTGGTGGAGTTATGCAGCCAAACATGAACCAGACATTGTTTGAAACTTCTGTGTGGGATTATCCCCCATTCATCCCTACCACACCACAACCCCGGGCCAAATTGCCATACAAATTGTAAGGTGAAGAGACCTAGCCATATGTGTCAATCTTCTTGATTTTGGAAGATCCCTGATCTGTAATTGTGAAGATATATGAGAAGCAACTTTCATGAAAACTCTGTCTATCTTTGATGTTTCAAAACATCAACACCAAGTCTCACTCATGTACCGCCCTTCTCAATCTGACTCACCTGCGGCAGAAAAATACAAAAAGATACCTCAGCAATAGTATCAAGCACATAATCAACAGATACATCTGAAGTGCATTCTCTGTGAAAAACCCTCTCTGTCTTTGATGTATCAAGACATTAATATCAAGTCTCATTCTTGTATCACCTCTTCTGATCTGGCTCATTCTTAGCAGAAAAATATAAAAAGATACCTTGACAGCTGTACTCAATACATGATCAGCAGATACAACAATTATAAAATCAGTATATCTCAAGATCTGACTGAGCCTTTGATTCCTGTATAGTGAGATATATTAAATCTAGTTTTAATATCTCAATATTCAATAGATTCTGTAAGAGATTGAGAACAGTAATACTAGATTTCTATTGAATTTAAGAATTAACTCTATATTAATATAATCATTGACAAAGTCTTCTATTTTAAGATATAAATAATCAGTTTCTCTACATTCTGCTGATAATATTTATATTATTATATAGAAACAAACTTATATTCTCTATAATATTAAGACTCTGAAGAGAGAAAGTCTTGATAGAGAGTATATAGTAATATATATCTTAGTAGTTTCTATCTCATTCTTCTATAGCAGTTAATATAAAAAAAAGATCTTAGAAATAGTTTTTTACTTCTCTTGAAAAAGTAAGATGTTTTTCTCTGAATTTTATACAATATTCTTATAAAGAATTAAAAACATAGTTATTTTCTATTATAATTTCATATTCTTTTAAGTAAGAATTACTTTTTCAATAACTGAGAGCTTTTATTAATACTTAATTCTTTTTTACACTTTTTATTAACTGATTTAAGTTGTACACTTATTGTGTGAGAAGAATTGAATGATTTAGAATAAAATTGAATAGTTTTAATCAATTTCTCTGTAAAAAATTAATTTATTTTTTGTCAGTTTTTCTCTCAAAAACTGTTATATTATCTGATTTACTATCAATTGATATCATACTTTTTCTCACTATATCTCAAGAAAGAGATTATAAAGATTTTATTAATTTATCTTAAAAATTAATTTTAGTTTATTAGATTCTCTTTAAAAATCTAACCTAGTTACTGAACTAGTGTGAAAAAAATCAGATGTTTTATATATAAAGGTCTTTTATTCTTCTTTTGAAATAGTCTGACTAACTTTTCAATTGAAAACAGACTTAGAAATCTCTTAATTAAAATAGTCTGATCAACTTTTTAAAAGAGTTTAATAAATATCTTAATTAAAACAGTCTGATCAACTTTTCATTGAGTGAGAATAATAAGTTCAAAAATACACTCAGTTGATGTGGAAAAAGATGCTTTCTCAAATACTATTTTTAACATTGAAATTCTGAAGAGAAGAAAGAAAGAACAAATAGAGAAATAACAAGTTCTTAAAATATAGAAACTTGAAAAAGTAAGTAAGATTCTTGAAAAGCAGTATCTGAGTGAGATGAATAAAGAAGTTCTGTTAATTCTTCACACTCAGACTAGACAACTATAGAAGATAATCAAGTTCAAACTTGAAATTTCAAACACAGTTTAAAAAATATTGACAATTTCTAGTATAATTACTAATTTATTGTTTTACTCTTCTTCTTTTTCTACTTCTTCTTCTTTTTCTACTTCTTCTTCTTCTTTAAATCAGAATAAAATATATGCTCAAGCAGCTGAATCTGCTATCTCTAAATCTGCTACTACAAAATCTGCTTAAAATTCTGAGAAAACTAAGAAGAATACTGCTCATACTTCTATTCATAAAAAAGTAAAGAAAAAAATGTAAAAAGAGAAAAACTTTTAAATCTTCAGAAATAGAAGACTTATTCTCAAAGTCTTAAATTAGAATATCTTACAAAGAAATAAGCTAAACTTAAATCTCATTTTCAGAATCAGAAATGAAATTAATCAGCAGTTCTTTTCTCAGTTAATAACTGATATTAAAGTTTAAAAATCAGTTATAGCTTCAATTGAGTCATCACTCTTTGAAAACTCAATCATTCTGACTACAATGTCTGAATTCAGTGCAGAATTTCTTATTCAGAATAAGAATCTCTGAAAATTAACAGTAGAATCTTTATTAAACATAATAATTCTATCTGAGAGAGATGAAAAGTAAGATAAATTCATTCTTCATAATATTTCAGTTGAAATTTTTGACTGTGAAGAAGAAATGCTACTTCTCAAAAATGAATTAGAAGAATATAACTCTATTCAACTGAGAAAAGAGTCTGAATAATTAAATTCAATTAAGTTCAGACAAAGTAAAAGAAATGTCTCTATTCTAGTATATATAAAGACACTTAAACAGTCAAAGATCTCTGAAGTAAGAGTAGCAGATTTGAAAATAAGAGTTCATGAATATAAAGACTTAAGAATGAATCTCAAAGCTTAAACACAGTGTTCAAACTGTCAAAGATATGAATACTTTACAATCTCATATTTTAAAGACTTAAAATGTGAATTCTATATCAGAGATTATAAAACTAGTGAGCATAAATATAAAACATGCTCAAAAAGAGATGAAATATATCAATATACTCTGCTTAAGTGCTCTAATTGAAAAGAAAAACATACATCTAGTTCAAAAGAATGTATATTTGCTTCAAGAACTCAAAAGAACTGAAGAAAAGATGAAGCTCAAAGTTAATCTAGAACTGAAGAGAAGAGTCAAATCAGTAAACTTATAACTACAAGCTTAAAAAGAAGAAAATCTCAACTATCTAAATCTTCAAACTTCAATTCTTCAGCTAAATATAAACAGAATTTGAATTCTTAAACTTCTGTTAAGACTAGAGAATTGAGAAATGACTCTGATAATAAACTAGATATAATACAAGCAGTTGAGATTCCTACTTTTCAAAATAGTTATAATCTGCTATCTGACAAAAGTTATTAGATTCTACTCTATCTCTACTCTGTTTTAGTATGAACATTCAATAAAAATAATAAAAAAAGTTTAAAAACTCTTCAAAAATCACATTTATTCAAAGTAATGTGAATAGAAACTTAAATTATATTTATTCTTATCTTCAAATTACATTTGAATAAAAAGTTAATTTTATACTGCTTCAGAAACTGAATTTTGATACTGAGTAAAAATACATTATTTCTTATTCAAGCTACTACTACTTTCTATCTTAAAAGTCTGAGATAAAGTTGAGAGTAGTAATCTATGAAAGAAAGAGATCAAGATATTAATTTAATCTAAGATTTAATATTATATCTGACTCTGATATTCTGATGAATGATATTATAGATAAAGAGAATGAGTTTGATAGTATACAGCTTATAAATATCTATAATGAAAAGTCATTGAAGAAAAATAAATATATCTGAATAATTAATAGAGAGTTTCTGAATATAACTTTATTAAGAAACTCTATAATTATAGAAGATTTCAATGCATATTATCTCTGATGAAATTCAGAATGTAAGAGAGTAGTAAGAGCTAATAATCTAATTGAATAAATCTTTGAGTATTTAATAGATTTAGTTAATAAGTCTGATCAATAAACATTGTTTAGAAAAGATATGAAACAGAAATCTATTATAGATCTAATCTTCATATTATAAAATCTAATAAAAAAAAGACTTATAAACTGATTTATTAATTCAAATGAGATATCAGAATCAGATCATGAGATTATTCAATTTAATATTAAACTGAGTGAAAAATAAATGAGTGAAAACTCTCTTCTCTCTAATTAATTTAACTTTGAAAAAGCTGATTGAAAAGCAGTTGAAGAAAGTATAAAACTGTTAAAAGCTGAAAGACAGAGTGAGCTATATTGAAATTCTGATCAAGATATCTCAAATGAAATACTTAAGAATAGAGTGAAGCTCATTACATCTATTATTCTAACAAGTATTAGAGATAATATTTCAAAGAGAAAATCTTCTGAGTATTCAAAATCTTAATAAGATGAGAGTA